AGGCAGGCAGGTAGGTAGGTAGATATCTATATCTCTATCTATATCTCCATATCTCTAAACCTTAGACACGGTTTTCCCGCTCTCGAAGGCCCGAGTGCGCAGGCAGCTTGGCTACCTGCCACCTTCAGCGATCCCCGACTCCCCGGCTGTTGGAACGGCAGGGCTTGGGCGTTCAAAGATACCAGACGAGGCCTATGTGGGCAGTTCTCGAAATTGGGTTTTCGTTCTTTTGGATCCCCAAAACAGTACGTCAACCTGACAAAAAGGAGCCCAAAAGGGACACCAATTTAGAGCACTACCCATGTCCAGCCTTTACCATGTGATGCGAACAGCAAGAATCACGAGAATTGACAAGTCTTGAGGGTCTGAGCACTCAGAGACGTGAGCATGCTTACATCCACACTCTTAGTGGACGTTTCGGGGCTCCGTCCATGAAAGGAACAACTTTGGGGTGCCAGATCTACCTCACTTCTTATTCAGGAACTAGTCATCGCGACAGCAGGTCCCGTGGAAGTTTCATAAATCAAGGGCTGGTGATATGCATTTTGTTAGGCTCCAAATAAGAGGATCTTTGTTGGCTGCATATAGCCCCATGCCACAAACAGCACACCTCACGCATTCCCGCTCTGCGGACCACGCCTTTCAGGTTGTTCTCTTCCTGCGTGGGTTTTAGGCTTCAGGATATTGGGGTTCAGGGTTTGCAGGTTCAGGGTTACAGCGTTTATGGACTTTAGTTAAGGCTTCGGGGGTTTATGGTTTAGAGTTTCGGGGCTTGGGGCCGAGGGCTTAGGGTGTGGGTTGTCCACCGGGATAAGGCAAACAGCTACGACGACAGGCCAGGAGCCCCCATCTCCATGGGCGCCCAGACGTTAACCCTAAACCCTAAACTCTAAACCCTGAGTTTCCGAAACTATAGCTACCTCGGCACAGGACCTGGGCTCGAGGTACCCTGAATCTCCGAGTAGGTCCGTTCCAAGAATGTCTGGCTCTTCTTTGAAGGGCTTTGGGGCTTAGGGATGAAAAGGCATTAGGGTTTGGGGTTTTCGGTTCAGGGCTGTGCACTCCCAGCCCTCACCCCGCCTTCGGAGGAGCATAACTGGAGAGGTCTTAATTCAACACTTTAGTCTGTTAGACAGGCTGTTCTTGCCTTCTGAGAAGCACGAGGCCCAGCTCAATCGTTCTACTGGGACTGGCAGATGCCCTCACCTGCACCGTACCCTAAACCAGAGGCCTCCTTCCCCAACCCTTTGAAGCAATAGAGGGGCCTACACAATTACCTATACAAGAAACTCTGTACTGTAGCAAGGGGGACGAAAGATGACCCTTTGAAGCCCCCCAAACCTAGAGAAGTTTGGAAACTCGCCCAAACCAGTCATCAATCGGAAGCAGGAGGAACACAGCAGACAACACTTCGTACCAGGATCTGTGTCATACGGGCACCAAAACAGCCTGCTTGTAAGAAACCCCGGTGTGAACATCGAGCCGTCTCCGACCTGTAAGACGTCGAAGTGCATCCTGCTCAACGTCTGCAGATACTATAAGGGCCTTAACAACTACCCCTGCTATTCTTTTTTTTTAGGGGGGGGGGGGGGGGNNGGGTTCTGATTATGATTATAGTACTAAGGCCCCTACTTGAAGCAGTTCTCACACACTTGTGGGTTGGATGGCTTCAAAACCTCAGCCTTGCCCTAAACTCCCTAAACCCTCGGGTTTATGGCTTAGGGTTCAGGGTTTAGGGCTTCGGGCTTGCTGTGCAGGTGCCATGAGTCTGAAACAGGGGTTGCAAGATGCTCCAGAGCTGTGCCAAGCTTGCCGTGTCGAATGTGCGAACATGGAACTCGCCTTTGCCAAAACGAGAAGTTGAGGCTTTAGCGTTTGGGATCTGCGGCTTTGTCTTTAGATTTAGATGATGATGTCAGAGTTCGAACTGTGTAACCAAAGATGTGGAAAGTGACAGACTGTGCAGTGTTTCGCTTTGAGCCTGGATATTTAAGTAGACTCTTATCGTTGACATGCCTTCTTGCTGCGTAGAAGCCGGAAGGCTGACGTACATCCCAAGACCCAAGCTGCTCTCACTGCGCTCACTTGCGCAAGTACTACTGCGACGACGACCCTTTCCCACTCCGACGACGACGACGGCCGCGACGACGACTCCGACTGCGACTGAGACTCCGACTGCGACTACCAGACTCGCTACTGTTGCCTCGTTAGCTACTCGCCTTTCTAACATGCTGAAGATGCTTATCACTTGTCACCATTTATATGACTTGTTACGAGTTCTTGCTTCTTACCCGCCAGTTCCCGGAAGCGCGGCGGTGCAACTTCTGCTGAGCGGAGCCCAAAATCAGCCGCCACTTCTTGTTCCTTGGGACGAACGCTGGGTTCAGGGCTTCGCTGGTTTGGGGATGCAAGATTTGTCCAAAAGCTCGAGTGTGCTCTCTTACTTTCTCACTGTGATTCTGAGTTCATACGACTGCGAAGGTTCACTTGTGAAGGCTCTGCTCCAACAGCTTGTGGCAACACTGACGGTGGGAAATGATTCAGAAAGTTTGGGCCTTCGGGTTGCGAGGCCCTGGTAGGAAGAATGCGTTCTGCGAGAAGTATGGTAATCTCAGAGCTGCAGAGAAGGTTCAGCTGCTCGACCACGGAGCATCCAAAATGAACCGACGAAAACGTGACAGGGCAGCGCAAGTTTTTCGCCTGCCTAAACCCTAAACTTGCCCCAAACCCCAAACCGTTTTCGTTGTTGCCCTCTCCTGAAATCGCAGGCCTTAAGCCGGCAACCTGCAAGGTGAGCTTGTTCCCCGAGATCCTAAACCCTTCAGGCCCAAAGCCCCAGCATAGGAAACCCTAAATCAAAACGCCTAAGCCCCCAGACCACCTGAAACCTACACTGCAAGACATCCAATACCTGAACAACATCTTAACCTAAACCCTAAACCCTAAACTCTAGACCCTAAACCCTAAACCCTAAACCCTAAACTCTAAACCCTAAACCCTAAACTCCTTCGAAGTCCAGGTCCGGCGCTGGGTGTCGCGGGAGCCTTCTTTGTACTGCATAGCCTGCAACTTTTTCGGCGGAAGAGGGTCTCATCTTAAATGCTAGGATCTCATGTTGAGCGTAGGCCTAAGCCATCTTCCACCATGAAACTCGCACCTGGTTTTGGGTCCAGCGTTTAGGATTTATCGCTGTCGCTGTTATCATTTCACGAGGCCCTTGGCTGATGCGTTTGCAAAGCTAGATTTAGACTCGGTGGAGGTCTGGGGTCAGCCTTTGCAGCCCTGGAGCCCTGGATCACATGCACAAAAAACAAACCTACTAAAAAGTTTGTCGAAAGGTTCTATGAGGGCTTCCGTAACGGTTACGGCAATGGTTTCTGCGAAGGTTCAAAATGGAAAAACTGAAGCGTAAGTCCTAGATTTTGCGCAGAATGGTGGGGGCTATCCGAAACGAAGGCAGGCGCCTGTCAGCAGACTAAGCCTGGCCTGCAGAAAGTGCCACATCCGCTTTGGCTTTCTAGTAATAGTTGAGCAAACCTCAGTAGAAGTGGCAGTAGCAGGAGCAGGAGCAGGAGCAGGAGCAGGAGCAGGAGCAGCAGTAGTAGTAGTAGTAGTAGTAGTAGCAATAGCAGCAGTAGTAGTAGTTGCTGCTGTGGTAGCAGCAGTGATAGTGACGGTCGCAGCCGCAATCCTAGCCGTACAAGAATACATGAGCAGCTGTACGCACAAGCTCAAACCAAAGCCTCACATCGCAAAAGGCCTCGTGGATGCAGGTGGCAACTTCCGCCCTGAGGAGCACGGCAGCGGCTATCGTTCGGTGGTGCGCTTGATGCACAATCCAACCCAGACACCCCATCAGGAGTGGTGACCATGAAAACCGGCAACACTCACTACTACTGCAGGGGGATCATGGGCACCATCATAATCACGAACGTCAGGATAGTTCTGTTGTTCATTGTATTGACGCCCCATAACTTCACGATCATCGTCACGAATATGATTAACACGGCCATCATCATGATGGTCGTCTTCGTGTTCATCTTGTTCATCCGAATCAAACACGAACACCATCAACACCAACAACATTAACGACAGCAGGCAGCAGCGAGCGGCAGCAGCAGCGACGACGACGAACAACAACCACCACCACCGCTGCCACCACCGCCACCACCGCCACCAACACCACCAGCACCAGCACCAGCACCTAAATCAAGAGCAGCCCTAGCAACAGCAGAAGCCGCAGTAGCAGCAGCAAAAGTAGCAGAAGCAGCAGCGGCGGCGGCAGCGACGACACCGACGACACGACGACGCCGACGACGACGACGAGGATGAGGAAGACGATGAGGACGAGGACTAGAACGAGGACGGCAACGACCACTACCTTATTCTCGGCATGGGTAGCTTTCATCAGCAACGATAAGAACAACATCATCATCATCGTCTTCAACAACATCATCATCTTAGGTGTCTGAAGAGCTTCTCGACGCTGATCAGCCATATCATCCATCTCCTCTACCATCCCTAATCAGCAGTTTCATCACCGTCACCGTCTGCGGCTTACTGGCTTCAAGCCTCTCCTGGTCCGGGACTGTATGTTGTCGACATGAGGCTTGGAGTGCAGAGCTCCACACAGCCCAGAAGATTCCAGCCGAGGGCTTAACATGGCAGGTCAAGCACGGACAGCCGGTGATGGCATTTGGCTGAAGAGGGGTCTACTGAGTCCACTACAACACTAACGACTCCTGACAAAGGACCCTGATTTAGTACAGCTGAGGGCGCGGACAATGTGGCAGTGAGCAGATTTGGCACCTGTTCAACAACAAAGGTAGAGCTAGCCAAGGACGCCCGAACACAAGTGGCCATCAAGAACGGATTCTCCCCCCTCCGCCTCAAATGTCGCGAAAACGAGGCCGCAGCCCAAAAGCCTCAAGGAGCCAGTACTCAGGGTGTTGAGCATACTCCGGGCCTAGCAGTGGTCCTGGACATGTTCATCTGTCACTCAAGAGTGCATGCTTCAGCTGGGAGCAGGGAGTTCACTGGGCGATGCGATCTTCGTGGATTGCTGCTGCTGACCCTGTTCCCCACATCCTGCCCACCGGCACAAGTTGAGCCTGATCAACGCAATACTTGATACTTCAAGTGCTGCTGCAAGCTTAAACAATGAGCAGGGACCCCTAAACCCTAAACCCTAAACCCTAAACCCTAAGCCCTACAAGCCCTGACAATCTAAAAGAAAGACTGCGGACGCAAATTACACAATGCTGTTATGCTACCTGAAAGGTTGCAAGATGCCGGAATAAATTTCTCAGTTCAGCTGCCAAAGCTGAGGCTCTAAGGCTCTGAAGCTTTAGCTTGCCGAATGCTCAACTCGATGCCTAATGTAGGGGCCTTAATATTTTTAGAATAGGTTTTGGGGCCCATTATGCTATAAATACACTAAGGAACCCCCAAGATAGCATAGGTAATTATTTAGGCCCCTATATTCAGTCCCTGCACACTCTCGCAGGGCCCCCTGCTGGTCTGCCGGGAGCTTCACGCTCTTCCTGGGATCCTCCGGGCTTTGGGCTCAGGGGTTCAAGCTTCAGGGTTGAGGGTTCAGGGTTTAGGGATTGGGGTTTAGGGATTGGGGTTCAGGGTTTGGGGTTCAGGTTCTAGGGATTGGGGTTTAGGGATTGGGGTTCAGGGTTTGGGGGTCTAGGGATTGGGGTTTAGGGTTTGGGACTTAGGGGTTAAGGGTTTGGGATTGGGTGCCTTCAGCATCCATGGCGATATCATCTTGGGATGTGCCAAGAAGATCAATGTTTGATATTCTGAGAGCGGCGCTCAGGAAACACCGAAGCTGTATGATTTAGGAGAAAGCACTTCGGGTTCGAAGAACTGTGACACCAGGGTTTGTCCGGGACATGGGTGAAGAATGGCACGTCCAGGCCACAGATACTTCAAGCCCTGAGCCCTCAGACAGCCTTCAACAATGCAAGAGGGTTCCGAGAGAACTTGCTTTGTCAAAATGGAGTGGGCTCCAAACAACAGAGTTGTTACAATGCCACTATTAAAATTCAGGGCTGCTCGTCCCTGGGGGAACAAAGTACCCACTGCTGAGCCCATCAGACTACCTGGGGGTTTCCGAAAATAGGGGACACTAATATAGTATCCTATTATAAGGACCCCAGAGTAAGGTACCCCTAGATTTCGGAAAGTCGGACCTCGACCTACACACCTACAAAGCTTCAGGCCAGACACGCGGCGACAGAAAACTCCATCGGAAACCCGGAAGATGCCCATAAACAACTGGTGGTGGTAATACTTACAGTAGCAACCCCTNNAAACCCTGAACCCTGAACCCTTATTGTCACGCGGCATCTGTCCAGCAGCATGGTGAGCAGACCGAGGCCTTTGGAGCTCGATGGCCTGACGGGTGCAGTGCAGGGTGCAGCATAGCCTTCTTTTAGGGTTTAGGGTTTAGGGTTTAGGGTTTAGGGAGGGGCCTTGATAATTAGAATAGGGTTTTGGGGCCCTTC